AGAATGTGGCGGGGTTAAACATGTTTGTGAGCGCTCAACCCTCCCCTAACCTGGGACAGTGGTGTAACAGCACAACATAAGAACAAACTATAAAAATCAGTTGAAAAAGGATTAACTCATCAGATAGATACAAACAAAAACACAGACAGGACGTGGCAGGGTATATATCCATCTCTCATCCCTAACAACAAAAAAAGACACTAAGTACAGATCTGAGAGTACTCGCAGTTACTACATGTAACAGATAGTTTAAAGCCAATAACAACTAAACATGATTATGTATATTCGACTAAAATATCAATCGGTACACATCCAGTCGGAAAGCAGGTCACGGTTTGACCCCAAGTCTATCAGCAACAATAGAGTCACGTGACCGTGAAAATTTAGTAAAACTACGGATGAGACAAACCTCACTTTCACTCACTAAAATACCACTGTCATAGTAAAAACTTATTGATCAAAATAATCTTGAATATACATTGTTTTAACTCGTCAAAACTTACACATCAACTCAAAGTCCTTTACTCTTTATTTTATCTTCAAACTTGAAGTTTGTGTGAAAATTGTCAAGGCTCCTGATCGAAAAATCTAAATATTTTCGAGGAAACTAAAAATGATGGGCTGAATTTAAATTTGATAAAGCATCTCATTGAGACAAACACTCGATATGAATATCTAGGCAATACAGTTTTGGATACGCAAACGTCAAGTTATGTTCAACACGAAGCGGTGGTTTTTTTGCCGATTTGTGCAAATGGTTATCTCCCCTTGATATCACCAGTCAAAAATAAAAACCCACCAAAATGAATAAAAAGGAGTTTATTTTACAAAAATCAAGAAGGAAATAAAAGAAACTCGATTAACAACTATGTTATTATAATAATAAGAAGAGATACTTCCCTACTTTTCAGAGAAGGATTACAGGTAAAAATTAAAAGAAACAAAATTGGTAAAAATTAGATCTAGAAACCTAGCTGAATTGATATAAATTAGCCCTGGCTGATGAAATTTACTTTCAGTTTGTAATTTTTTATAATGGGATATGGAATCACCCCTAATGTAACTACTTCTAACAATGTTTAATTCAATAAAACAGACTGTATACAATTTAAATAATCTTTCTGAAAAAAAATAGTACTGACCATTTATATTTTATATTTTAATAAAGTGTGATCAAGAGTCACAATTTAGTTTCTTCAAAGTAAAAAAGCCTTTTAACTCAAGCCTATGTTTCTTAGTTGAACAGTACAGTACTGCCTAGAAAATATCATACAGAAAAAGGATAAGTTTACCAAAAAAATGACAAAAATTCTGTAAAAAAATAATGCTTAAAATTATAAGTGAAAGTGACATAATTTTGAATTTTAAAATCATTATTATGTAAAATTCAACTATTAGATTAGCTAGCACAGTAGCCCTTGTCCAATTTCTCAAGGTATTTTATAGTCCAAATAATTATGACGTCTTGGAAGGCTATTATAAACTTTTGCATTTTATAGATTATGAAAGTAAACATTTTGAAAAAAAATTGGGGCTTCTTCTCTTCAGGTTGCTGTATCTGCTGCTTTACATATTTATAAACAAAGTATTGTATATTTTACCTGAATAATTGGATATTAATCTCAGAAATGAAAGTTGGTATGACAAATCTTGTGCATTTTACTTTAATAATGATCAATGATGATTAAATATGACAGGATTTTGCCATTTGAATAAATTCAATTTTGTAAGCACACATCTCTATGAATTAATTCTTGTTAGACTTGAAAAGCTAGTGTTTGCTCTTATTAATGTAGCTTACTTAGTAAAGAGATAATTGATAAGCAAGGTTTTTAACTTATAAAACATAAATATAATTAACTGACCTTCATTTCCTTTTTTCATATGTTTTTTCCTCCAGAAATTTTCTTTGCAATGCATTTTCTATTGCTATTTTTGTGCTTTTGTTTATCCATAGGCCATCATTAATTTGTCATATTTGCTTCCAGCATAAATGAAATTTTCTTAGACCTATAGTTTCAAACGCCATAAAGAAGAACTTTGTTTGTTGTTTCACTTGTCCAATGTGTAAATTTTCACTATGCACATGACCCTGACACATATTTTGAAAACGTTATATATGACGTATGTTGAAAAAGAAAACAATGTCACCGTCAATTTGTGTAGGGGATCAAAAAGGGGTTTAATTACTTTAAAATGGAGATATCGTATGGAATTGTGAAAAACAACAATTTTTAATCACAATTTCATTCCTATCTATAATAAAATCGGTATTTTAAAGTACTTTGGAAACAGGTACAATGAAAAGAAGTTGAACTTTACTGTTTTGAAGTAGAAACGCAGCCCAAACCAGGTACAAATTGACATGACTGGTGGTCACCAAAATTGATGTATAATAGTAAAAAATGATGGCTTTATAATTGTGTAGAAATTTGAAATAGGTTACCCGGTTTCATTTAAGATTTTTAACGTTCTATTCCGTATTTGGATACGCAAACGTCAAGTTATATAAATTCGATGTTTTTGGCGAACAAAAAAGATGGCTGATCATTTTTAGAACGGACAGGATAAAGTAATAGTAAATAAAAGTTATTTTCGACAATGATTCAATGTCGTATTGAAACTATATTGTTCTCAAAATCTACAAACTTTAAAAATCAATTATAATAAAAGCATGACAAGTTGAAAAAAATAGTTTAAACGTCGATTTTTTAGCCGATTTATTTCGCGGACTTTTTGACGTCACCGACGACTGTAGCGCCACCTAATTAATTCCCCCTTCTATTGTTGCTGATAGAACTTGACGACAACGGACGTTTCCAAGGACTTGCTTTCCAACTGATCCAGCATCCAATGGACTTATTGTAAAGACGTCATTAACAGTCAGAGAAAAGCTTGACCTTGTGCAATGCCAAAATATAGGTATCGACAGATTGTAGTACCGTGAAAGTACATATGTGTAATATTTAGTATGGTTTCAATTTACTAATAACAAAATCAATATTTATGCCAATAAAAACAACAATCAATTATTTAATTACAGTGTGCTGTTTATCATATTTGTTTTTCGTTCATTATTTTGAACATAAACCAGGCCGTTAGTTTTCTCGTTTGAATTGTTTAACATTTATCATTTCTGGGCCTTTTATAGCTCACTATGCGGTATTGGTTTTACTCATTGTTGAAGGCCGTACGGTGACCTATAGTTGTTAATTTCTGTGTCATTTGGTCTCTTGTGGATAGTTGTCTCATTGGCAATCATACCACATTTTCTTATTTTTATATTGAATAGGTAACCCTTGAGAATAAGTTTGTTTAAAGGATTGATAAGTTTACCAGGATCGTATCTAAATTTCCGGGCGCATTTAACAGCATCACCGTAAAATTTAGGACGACATATTCCGTTTAAAATAAGTCATACTAGCAGACCAAATTTTTGTATCAATGGAAGAATTAAGTAAAGGTTTTACGTAATTTGTGGTAACGAAATCCCTGACTTAATAATTTACTAGTAATACATAGATTACGCTCATTGAAATCCAAAATGTCACTACAGACACGAGCATAGCGAACGAGTTGGGATATATAAACACCGTAAGACGTAGCCAAATGAACACCACCGTCCAAAAAAGGAAAGCTAACAATAGGGAAAGAAAAATCATCCCTTTTGTCTTAAATGTTTGTGTATAATTCCACCTTATGTAATAATGCAGATTCTTGGGTCAAGTGTCAAGTGTGGCTGATTTCCAAATAGCGATAAGGTCTATACAAATTTGCTACTAGGCTATTTACAGTTTAGTTTAGGAACATGATTATTGGACAGTGAGGAACAGCTGATTACCATTACACATACAAAAATTATACAGTCAAGCAGAAACTCCATAGGATACCTGATTACAATAAAAATTCTGATGTAAAGATAGATACAAAGAGCATTTGGGGGAATTAAACAATTATATCATGCTTACAAGGGGTATTTGCCAAAAATACCTGTTGAGAGGTAAAAAAATTTCCCTCGCCTAACGGCTTTGGAAATTTGTTTACTTTCAACCGGTATTTTTCGCAAATACCCCTTGTAAGCATGATATATTTTTATAGAGTTTCCGGTGTAAAACTGAAATATCTAAATCTAGGAAAGTACCGACTGAGTTTATTGCTGTTAATGTTTGATTTATTTAAAGTAGTTCTTTTGGGTAAATTTCAGCAGTAAATTTAGAGAACTAAGTATAGTTTTCAACCCGATTGCTGTCGGCAATTAAGACAGGTCACCATACCTGAACAAACTTTAAGACGACAAGTCCTTGCTTACTTCTAAAATCCACGTGCTTATAGGAAAACACCATATACACATTTAAATTCTTCCTTTTAACTAGTTCGGAGATCTTACAAACCAATCCGGCACTGCATGTGGGCATAATACCAACGACATCTGCCTATATTTTTCTTTTGTCAGCTGAAAGCAGCTGTGACATTATCATGCATAAACTTTTAAGCCATTGTTAAATATGCGTAGTCATTTCGAATAAGAAGTTTGACTGTATGTGATATGAAAAAAAAATGATATTTATCTAGTATAGATTAAATTATTTAGTAACTAGTATTTATGGATTTTTATTAGCCTAACACCTGCCATGACGGGAGGTTTTTGTGTGAAGTATGGTAAAATCAGAACAAGGAATAGTAGAGCAGGAATGTTTAGCCGTATCACTTTTTTGAAACCTGTGAGTTACTGACTTTACTGAAATTGTGGAATTTCTTAAGAGCGATGCAATATGGTTTACAACCAGGACATACACGTTTTAACTTGTAACCTCACCTCCACATACAACACCAACCCTTTGAAGCACTCTAACTAACAAATGTGTACTTATAGGGCAGATTTTGTAGCTAAGCACCTGGCTAATACAATGTAACAACAGGCAATTGTGCTATTTTTGAAGGACGTGCAAATGTATCATAATTTAATCTGTCTTTGAATTTTCAACTATTTATAATTTCAGATTGTTAGGGTAAAACCTATTATGGCTTCCATGACCAGCATGGACGACCAGGAAACAAAACTAGGAGGAAAATGGGTTGAAATGGATCAACCACCATTACTCAAACTTTTACAGAATATTCTTAGAGAGTACCCAAAAGATGCTCAAATATTTCACGTAAGCTAAATCTTTACAGAAGTTATCCAATCTTATGTCTTCATGATTCTGTGCAACAATTCATTTCCGGTAAGTTGCATTCAGCTTTCTAAATCAATTCAGAGATACAAAACCAATAGATATTAAGACAATTCATAGATATATACGTCACACACACTGACTATTAATTTAACATGTAGGTCTACCAGAACTTTCTTCGTTTAAAATGGTTCCTTTTTTGTATTAAAGTTTCGGTACAGTTTTCGGTACTAATGTAGAAGTTATAATCAGGAACCCATAGATTTGAAAATCAAGAGGTATAGACCACTTTCGAGTTATGTCCTTCACCGGAAAAGTTCGTCAATTATACGCGTCTTTATGACGTCATTTACCAGATAGAGGGAATCGCCTGTATCCCTGCACTATCAAAGTTCATCAAGCGTCTTCGCGATCGTCATTATGCAGGATAAACCAGAAATAATATTTGTTCCGTAGGTACTTAATCACAATTCCCCAATGACAGCAGTGCTGATTATTAATTGGATTCGCGAATAATTCGTTCAATATAGAATCATACTTTTTTAACCGCTCGCTCAATATTGAAAGAAAGTGAAGATGCCCCTAAATACACGAATGATGTTCACTAAAATCAAAATTTTTGACGGAATTGTAACGAACTCGAATGTGGTCTATTATAAATTTATTAAATAATAATCGTCATGTGTGCACACGAAAATAGGTCTGTCAGATATTGGTATCCTTTATAGGTTAAAGACCCTTAACTTCGCACAATAAAAAAAAAAACGTAAAAACTGCCAAACTATCTTTATTTTGAGATTCTACAATTGGTTTTTAGATATGAGTAATAGCCTTACCACAAATAAAAATGTTAATTTTGCTGCAACATGTCCAAAGCAGAACTATGTATATTTGATTTTTATGGGTAAGGCTACCGTTTATACTAAATCATCTAAACATATATGGGAGATTTTAGGTTTAACATGTTTTTAATGTCATACCTAAATAGTTTGTACTAAGTAGACCAGTCTATGTCATCCAACCAATTTCATTTTAATTCGATTTAGCCAGAGTTTATCTATAAAATGTTATTCTTCAGATTTACAACTAATTTCGGTAGATCGTGTTATTCTGAAGCATGTAAAATTTCTACAATAATTAAGTTTGATAAACAATATTTTCCTTTTCTCTCTTTTGAAATTTCTCACTTTAATCAAAACTAATTTTTGTACCGATTGAGGTTTAAACAATCACAATACTCTAGGATGTAGAGGGTGTTCATTTCTGTATTTGTTATTTTTATGCCATATTTTCTATAGTCGTTTATTTAATTCTTTTTATGTTATTTTTTTGCGATGTATTATTCTTTACATTAAAGAACCCCATTATTCTTCATTGTTTTGCCTATTTTTCTTTATTGATTATGAGTGGCACTTTATTCTCTATTCTTTTAACCCCAATCCAGACCCTCATTTTCAAACTTTTTAAAAAAATTTACAGGAACTTGTGCAGAATGCAGAAGATGCTGAAGCCTCAGTCATAAAGATTTTGTTTGTACCAGAAACATCTACTTCATCCCCGCCAGAGTTCGAAAAGTATTTTCAGGTATTTGTGTTTTTTTAGAGATATTATACATGTATTCATGTATCTTTACTTTTTGGTTGATAAGACTGATATTTGACTTCAACAGCTAGTATCGTACGAAATCACACAGTTTGATTTTCATTTGATGTACTTTAATGCAAATACAAAATATAATACGGTCCATTTATATCTGATACGACTGGTGTTTAACTGAAACAGCTAGTTTCCGATTAAATCGCGATTTTGTTTTCATAAAACATATTTCAATGTAAATACAAAATTCTAACGTTAGAGATTTTTTTAACATCAGAATTTTTTTTATCATTTGAGTGAGAAATGACCCGCTTTGATTTGTTTTGACGGACAGTGCAGTAGTTTTATTTGTTAGAATATGAAGGGGTAAACCTAATTAATTTGGTTACCGTAGTACTTTTGTTATAATGATATGATTATAATTATACTATGATTATTTAATTCATAATTAATCAGGGAACATGTGAACGAAAACATTTAAATTCAACAATGCCCAATACTACTATTGAAGCTGCTCGAGGATCATCTCCGGATGTGTATTCATTTATATTTGGAACGGGGACCCAGTTATTTGCCCCATTGAAACGCATTGAAAATCATAGTAAATAAATAGTGTGCTGTCCAATAAATAATTTTGATAGCCACCTTGGGACTTCTGTTTCATGTTGGGCATTTGTTTCGAAGTTTCTAAGTACAATCTCAGTGCCTCATGACCGGCATTCCGTTGCAAAATTTTGTTTTGATTGACAACAGGGTAGGTCTGTCTACTTCCGGGGAAGAATAAAGGCTAGAATTTAGGCAATTTACTCTATGTACCGACGCCTGATTACATTTAAATCAATCAAATTTTTTACAGAAATTCAAGCTAGAAAGCCTACCCTTTCAAATAAATCTACATTCAGTTACAGAACTTGTGTAATAATAAAACTACACCATTTTAAATAAAAGTTATATATTTTTTTAAGAACTACATTCGTGGTTACCGGAATGGTTGCCGTAACTGGGATCCTATTCCATTTAATGCGCTACATATGTTTAGCAGAGTGCTTTGCTCCTAGAATGAAACAAATGTTCCCGTATCATTTATTAAGAGTTAACTCATGTTCCCCTCTGAAAATCGAGACAATCTCTTGCGACTTTACTTTAATGGACATAAGGTTAGTACCGTCATTATTGTGTTCAAAATTATGTTAGACGTGAAAACAAAACAATAAAACACTTGTCATAAAATAAATAATTTTAACTTTTGATCGGTACTGTTTATCAATGTTTATGTCGTGTTTAGTTATAAAAGCAAGCGGATAGGAAAACTTGTATATCATGTATGTGAATTGATTTTTTATGTTCAGGAAGTAATAAAAGTATACATGTAAGCATTGGAATAAAACATTCATTTCCCCTTGGCTTAGGGAGATATGAAGATTTGTTCATCCCAAACAAATCATAATTCCTTCGGTCAATGGCCCCGGGGGATATGATTTTCTTGGGTGAACAAATCTTCATATCTCACTCAGGCAAGGGAAATAAATGTATATTGTCTACACCATGAACATTATCTCCAAAAAGCATTTCTTAAAGGTAATTTTTCAAAAAGCTGAGGCTGACTCCGACTGCTCGTATCGATACTTGGTCTTCTACATGTATCACATAATTGAAAGGATAAAGTGGTCCATGATGGTCGACCAACTTCAGAAACCATTCGGTCGCAAGGTTCTTGAAGATTGTGTATTTATGCTTTTATATTATTTTTCAGTCTCCAGGAGTATGTGTTTACAATGATGCCCTTTTCAATGAAGTGGATTGGAAAAATATTAGATCAGTGTGTATAAGTCACAAAGAGACAGAGGAAAACAAAATTGGAAAATATGGACAAGGATTCAAATCCATTTTTCATCTGACAGGTACACAAATATATGTTTCATCTGACAGGTACACAAATCCTTTTTGTACATATTATGTCTGCTTCAATTAAATTACTTTCTTCACAGATTAAGCGAAATAGAAAAAAAAATTCTATTAAGTGAGATAAGGATACTTTAGCTTAGTTATTTGAAACACAGACTAGTTGAACATTTATTTCAGTTGTACATGTGAACCTTCATGCTAATATGGAATTGTTTGAGCAATATATTTATTTCTGGACTTGGTAACTTGGTAATTTTTCTATCAAAACTTTTATTTTTAACCCGGCTATTTATCTTTAATCTATTTGTAATTTCAGTTGAACAATTTCTCCCCATGATAGACAAGGTGATCGATTTCCCGTTGCTCCCTTATTATATACCCGGTCAAAGTTGTTGACAAAACATGACAAAAATTTCATATATGATCATACCAATTAAAAGATATCATTTTTTTTTACAAACAGCAGTAGATATCGAAGATACTGTAAACATGTAACGTTGTATGACATAACCGGATGAAACATGTTGCAATATAAACAAAAGCTATGACTTTCAGTTACTGCAGCTGAAACTTTCCAAAAATAACGGACACACGGACGCACATTCCGACCGACTAGGGTTACAAGTAAACAACCTTACTAGATGCTTTTTTTTTTTTGGTTTATTTTAAGCAATGTTTATCTGTTGCACGCCTAGTTATCCACACATTTTCTTGTTAAAAAAGCAATAGCTCTTAATCGTTAGGTACGATATCTTTGTTTATTCTTATTCAAGGCGACTGATGGAAAACATAATTACTTATGTATTGCAAGGATCGCAGTGTCAAAAAAACAATTTCATGAATAAACACTTTGATACTTGTTGAAACAGATATGACTGTAACATGATTGTCATTCTTTGCTTATATTCATCCCTTAGTGTTAAAAAAATGCATGTTATTATAATAACATCTTTATTTTGATATTATGTTTTTTCTTATAGACCACCCTCTTATAGTTAGCGGAGATACAGTTCTACTCATAGATCCATTTAGACATGATTCATGCGGCTACTTCGACCTAAAGGGCATATTCTCTACGATATTGACTTCAACACAAATTAAGTCATGTTTTGATTCATTCGGTTTAACAGAACAGGCAATACAAAACAATTTTTATGATGGAACTTTGTTTTGGTTTCCATTTCGCAAGCTGGAAAGTGAATTGTCGAAAAATGTTTTTACAGAAAATAAAGTAGAACAACTGTTAAACAACTTTGCAGACGATGCGTCGATTATCTTGCTTTTCCTTAATCATCTACAGAAAATTCAAATGTACAATCACAGAGACCACACTACGCCCTACCTTCAAGTTGAACGAACATGTGTTCAGCTTTTATCAGAAACAAACTTTCAAGAAAATATGATTGATTTTGAAAATACTCCAGAGAAGTGTCTTAATATGAAAGAAATTGAAATTAAGACAGCAAGATCAGAAACTCCTGGTCAGACAGATAAGTGGGTAATTGTTAATCAGACCGATAGAACGTCTAATAATGAAAGAGACGAGTTCGATATAGGACCACCTTGTATACCAAACATTAGTTTAGCATATCATCATGCAAGCAGTGAAGATAAACCAATGGTTAGTGGTCGAATTTTTAATTACCTACCTTTGCCGGTTACATGCATCACTGGACTTCCCGTATGTGTGCAAGGACCGTTTGCCATTAGTCAGAATAGACGCGAGCTTAAACTTCCCGACAAGCGTTCAACAGATAGATTTGTTCTATGGAATGAAAAACTTTTTCAACTAATTCCGACTACATACAAATTATTAGTCAACTATTTAATATCAACCAGTGAAAGAAATGGTAATTCCGACCAGTTAGTTTCTATTGTTTACAACTGCATTCCAGACATTGATAAAGTAGAGACATTCTGGAAACCACATACAGAATCTGTCTATGGAGAGCTTCTGAACTTGCCTATTTTCTTCACAAAACTTAAAGATAACCATTGGGTTACCAAAGAGGTAGCATTAATTCAATCAATAGATAATGCAGTAGTTAGTACTCGAGTCACGACATTTTTACTTGATCACGAAATACCTGTTATCAAAATAGCAGGAAACATTCCATCAATATTAAGCCGTTCAAAAATTCAAATGATTACTCCTGGCTTCATAGTAAATTTACTAAAACATACAGTTCTACCTGAAACATATGATCATGAGATGAGACTATGCCTACTTGAATACATTTTGCAGGATCCCACATTAGACATTGAAGGTATTAAACTAATTCCTGTTGAGAATGGAGATTACATGTGTTTTTGTTCATATGAGTACGATGCTGAACCTGAGGAAGAACTGTTGTTGTTATCAGCTGATCAGCGAAGAGTATTCCAAGGGCTCGAGCACAAAATTGTCAAGACTGATGACCTTTCTGAACCAGCCTATCAAAAGTTAAAAGAAATTGCAACTAGTGGTAATTATGAAAAAAATGGTAGATAACCATGACAAATTATTGTTTTTGTTCAGTTATGCCGGTTTTATAGAGTTAATTGCTTTTTAGGATTGACTTTTATTGCAATGTTTTCAACGTTCCTTTTGTTATTTCATTGATCAAAATTGAAAGGGGGAAAGTTGATATGCTAACAAAATCTTTTTTAAATTTGACACTTGTTCAAGTGCTTGTCCAAAGTGAGGAACCTTGTAATTTTGTATTTATTATATTTCAATGTGTGTTACAACAATGTGAATTTGGTATTGTTTTTATTTTTTCTTAAAATCTCCTGTACCAAGTCAGGAATATGACAGTTGCTATCAAATAGTTCGTTTCTATGTATGTTAGCGGTTTTTTTTTGTTCACTTCAGTGTTCCTGTTGTTCGTTTGTTTTCTTCTTATAGTTGATGTGTTTCCCTCAGTTTTAGTTTGTAGCCCGGATTTGTTTTCTCTCAATCGATTTATGACCATTGAACACCAGTATACTACTGTTGCCTTTATTTATCTGTTTTTACTTTTTGTTTTTGTGACAAACCAACTTTTTATATTTTTCAGTGGTGTATAAAGTTTAATGATTGAACTCAGATAGGACAATGAACGTTTTTTTTTTAAATCTTTTTTTATATTATAATGGTATTTTATCATTTGTTTCAGAAAAATATCAACTATATTGTTTACATTTGGATGATCTGCCCATGTTGTTACAATCAGTAATAAAGCAGCATTGCTATCCTATTGATACAGACGGAGAAGCTGAGATCATTGAAGATTCTCCACTGACCATAGACTGGATAACACGAGTATGGACATTGATAAATTCGTTTGATCCGAATGATTTGGAACCCTTTGAAGATATCCACTTGATACCAAGGAAAAAACCAGCAGCGAACAACTTGTCCACTATTACACATTTACTTACTATGAAAAAGTCGTATTTGTTTTCTAGTTACGAAGGTTGTCCTCACATTTCTAGCAATATACAGACTATATTAGAGTCCGTAGGGGTAGAAGTGATACCACACCCATGCGATGTACTTCAACCATGTGAACATCTTCTTATTGGAAACTATATAAAGATTCCAACTTTTGATTCGTTGATTCAGTTGTGCAAGAACAATAAAGATCTTCAAAATAAGATTCAAAGAATTCTTGGGTTCAAACGCACTTTGGATTTACCGAATTCAGAAATTACTAGTGCTACATCATTTGGACAGAAAGAAGACCTTACTACACGGATAAAAGGGATACTTCGTGACCATCCCATTGATCATTCATTTATAAATGAACTTTTACAAAATGCAGATGACGCAGGAGCAACCGAAGTACATTTTGTGTACGACAAGCGACATCACAGCAATAGCAGAGACGGGATATTTGATGAAAGATGGAAACCACTTTTAGGACCCGCCCTTTGTGTGTTCAACAATGCTTGTTTCACAGAAACAGATATTAAAGGAATACAAGAATTGGGAATTGGTGGAAAATGTGGAGACAAATCAAAGGCTGGACAATTTGGGTTCGGTTTTAACGCCGTTTACCACATAACTGATGTTCCATCGTTTATTACAAAAGGACCAGATTCACCGGGAGGAGGGGTTTTCTGTGCTTTCGATCCTCATTGCAAATATGCTCCATATGCACATTACGACGCCCCAGGAATGAGAATGAACTTGGATGAACTCACAGAAAAGTATTCATCAGTTTACCGTTCTCATATCGGCGATGTACTTACATCCGAAACTGGTACATGGTTCCGGTTTCCTCTTAGGAACCATTTTATGATAAAATCATCAGAACTGCTAATAACCAAAAATGTAGACCCAGAAAAAGAAACGTTACGGTTGGTTGAATGTATGAAAGAGAACATAGTAGAAAGTCTAATTTTTCTTATGAATGTTAACTGCATTAAAATTTCACAAATACACGAAAATACTGATAATTTGGAATTGATCAAGAAGGCTGAAGTAGACCTAACACAGTCTGATGCTAACAAAAGAACCAGATTTAAGGATTCTGTTGGACGAAACGTCCAACTTCTCAATTCATCATCCACTTATCAGTGTACTGCGATTGAAGAATATCGATATCGCATGACAATAAACGAGGAAAATCAGCATTACAAGACATATTTAGTTGTTCAAGGTATTGGTCTTCAAAGTGTTGATCAAACAACAAGGAACGTTGTAAATGACGTAAAACGACTCCCAGTTGGAGGTGTCGCTATTCTGGCAGACTCGTCCGAAAACATCATAGAGGACAAACAACCAAAAACCAAATACAGGGTGTTTAGTACGCTACCACTTCCATCAACAACGGGTCTCACTGTTCATATCAATGGCCATTTTGAGCTTGATTCGTCTAGAAAACAGTTATTTGAATCTAGCCACTCAAGAAAACAAAACGATAACAGATATCAATGGAATAAAATTCTTTTACAACAAAATGTGTCTCATGTTTATGTGAGTTGCATAGAAGAATTGAAGTCATTTTTATTTCAAGACTGCAAAGACAATGAGTTTAACATATTGGGAACTTTTTTGGCTCACTTTCCTGTTGATAATACCCAACACACATATTGGCAAGAATTGCTATTATATTTCTATCAAAGTATAAAGACACGAAGAGCAAGTTTGTTTCCTGTAAGTCCGGAATACACTTCACTCATTATTGAAGATACGCAAGGATCGTCCAATCATATAAATAAAGGCAATCTAAATATAAACATTAAATGGGTATATGAAGAAGAGTCAAATGATGTATTCTTTGATAATTTGGATTCTCAAATTACTGGCAGTGACTGGCGAGATAGTGCAACTAATGACACAGTGCAGGAAAAAGCAGGAAGATTACGACAGTTTTTTGTCAACATGGGCATTAAACTATCATGTGGTTCCCAAGATTTAGAAAAAAGCTTTTCAAAAACCTGTAAATACCACAATGGTAGAAAGAAACACCATGTTTACCCTTCTTTATCCTCACTTGACTTTGTTTGTGTTTGTAAAGAAAACATCTTACCAAAATATGTAAGTGTGTTCATGGAAAAGAAATTTAAAACACTTTGCCGTAGTGAATGGGAAACAGCAAATAAAACCTTAGCAATTGGGGACATAAAGCTTTGCTTGGACTACCTTCTTAAGGCACTAAATTGGAGAGATATCATAGGTCTTCCACTTCTGTTGGCAGATGATGGTTTAGTTCATCCAATACAGTACAAGAATGAATTCTTTTTATCTGAATATCAAACCCTATTGGCTGGTTTGCAAGGAAGCTTTGTTCACAGAAGTTTGGTACCATCTCTTATAAAATATACAAAAGAATGTAAATCTACTGATTTATTCAAAAGATTAGATTTAGAGAATTTTGCTACAATTTTGCAAAAGTCTCAAGATAAAGTTCGACTAAAAAGCGCAAATATTATAGATTGGAATCAAAAGGAAACTCCAGTTGCAGAAAAATGGATAGACGAATTTTGGACATTCCTTAAGTCCCTACAAGAAGATGATGATAATTTGAGTATTCCATACTCGTTACACAATTGGTGCTTAATTCCAGCTCTCTTTGGAACACAAAAATATCTTGTTCCACTGGGAAAGGGACACTGTGTGGTAGATGGGAGAACATTCGAAGGTGACAAGAGTTTTGCAATGATAATAAAAAAATTGAAAATTCCAAAATCTCTAATAAAACATGATTTGAAAGGAAACTTATCTTTACTTGCTACTTACTCAGATACAAATAAGACATTTGACTGTATGAAGTACTGGATTACTCAACACAAAATTAAGTTGACCTGCCATGAATGTGCAGTTACACTTGGTTATTTCGGGCAAAATGCTGACAACATCTCCCAGGACCGCCTACGAGACATCAGAAAATTCTGTATTTTTGAAACAATAAATGGTAGAATAGAGCCCTTAGTTCATTCAAACATCGTTGCAACCGCAGTCGATTTTAGAATGCCTGTACTCGGATTACAGAACTTGTTCAACTCCATGAACATGACAGTCCTCAAATACAACCCCAATGCTGATAGACTATATAAAGCTATAAATTGCTGGGTTCCATCGGACAATGCAATGGTTCCTCCAATATCATATCTATATGCTAGTTGGATCTTACCAAATATTCACTTGCTTAATACATCTGATCGTATGGTCCATTTGGAATATATACGAGATCACTTGTTACACGACATTAGAATTAAAAAAAAACTAAAGGAAGCAAAGTTTATTCCCCAAAATAATGAAATAAAAAAGGCTTCTGAATTCTTTGACAGAAACAATAAACTGTTCCAAGAAATATGTGAAGAGTCGGAATTCCCAACAACACATTTCCATGATCCTATTTGGCACGGATTACTTAAAGAAGCAGGAATGAAAACGAAGAAATCTAAAGAAATTTTAATCGACTTTGCCAAAAGAATGACCAATATATCTTTAACCAAAATGTGTTATAAGCAAAAAACTATGAAGTCCAAAACTCTTGTTGAAGAGATATTTAATTTCATAAAAAAGGAACACAGTAACACTGATATTAGGGGTTTCATAGCAGAAATAAGAACAATATCTTTCATTTTCCCTCAGGAAATAGGCGATGAATTTACATCAATACACGCAGGAATAGCCGGAGATACCTTAATGCGATTTCAAGGGTCCCTGTCGGCCAACCGATTTCATATTGTGTGGAGCGTTGAGCCAACTTTACCAACCTATGCTATGGACGATGAACTAATGAATCGACTACATGTTGAACTAAGGCCTATCGAAGAAAGTGTTTTAAAACATACAGAAAATATATGTGCTGTTCTCAGTCTTTCTTTGAAGGAAAATCAAAATGATTTTGTAGAAAGTATAATGGAAGAAATATATGAGTATTTTAATACAACATCTCAGTCTGAGTTTGAGATCCTCAGAAAATTGTCATGTGTACATGTTAAGAAACACAATACGTTTGTTAGAGCTAAATACATCGTGAAAAATGTAACAAATGAAGAAGAAATAGTTCCTTATCTTATCCAAGCACCAGAGGAATATGCACCATACTACAAATTATTTCGTTTTCTTGGAATGACAGATACACCAACAACACAAACATATTCTAAAGTATTGTCATATTTTTATAAGGACTTTGGTAAAGAAAGATTAGATATCGAGCAAATTGAACAGGTAGAGAAAGCGATCAAAGGTCTTGTTCAGATGCTTCAAACAACAATGGTCGATGAAAGTCAGATTGATATTGATAACCTGATTTTAATGACAACAGATTATCGTTTGGTTCCATCTTCAGAAATATTTCTGGAAACTAGAGATGACGAAAGACAAAGAATAATGAAGAATGGAACTCTTAACCTGATGGCAGACTTGACTATGTTTTCTCTCAGTAAAATTCAGATAGAGGAAATATTCATGAAACTTCCAGAAAAGTTTCGACCTATTTTTGCAAGTACTTCCATTCATGAAGAAGTTCTTTCACCTGATGAATTCCTGAATAGTGATATTGCAGATAAACTTAAGGATTATTTAACCAGTGAACACTTTATAGATGGAATTTTGCGTCTTGCAAAGTACAACGCCTCGTCCAGAAATATGCAAATGGATGAAAGTTCACTTCTAGCCATTGAATCAAATTTGAAAACAATTCAAGTTTGCAGTGTTACAAATTTGCAAACTAGATTAAGTCTGAACAACAGAACGTTAAATGAAACGGACGTTTCAAAACGATGTTACCTAGATAAGCACAGGAATGTCCTATATTTTACATCTTTCGATGTAGATGCAGTTAAATGGCTCTCAGTATATGATTGGGATTTCGCCGCTGCAATACAACCGCTGTTGAATGGAAAAATTGAAAGGGATAAAGTTTTAACAATATTATCAAAAATTGACCTAAGTCCATTGGAATTTTCAAAACGCCTGGACGATATCGGAATACCACCAAAGAACGAAGATGGAAATGTTTCTTTTGTTCCACTTCCAGGTTCACTTGTTCCAAAAGATCTCGCTGAGTTTTTAGTCCCACTAGAGACTACAGTACCACGGAAGAGTTTTGTAGTTTTTAGCGATTGGAAATATGTTGATACAAAAAATCAAATCTATCAACCAAATACACATCGCTATAAATACGGAGTAGTTATAGATGTCATGTTGTCACACGAACAAAATGCAGAATATTATATTCTAAATGTTGGTGATTCGTCACCTAGAAATATGCCTATTTCAGAATTATTTATTATAAAAGAAATGTCAGAAATAAACTCTGTAACTTTCCAGATAAGTGACGATGAATACAGCCATAGACGCGATTTGACTCTAAATGCTGCTGTTAGGTTCAGAATGAATCAAAACCCAAATCCACAACCTGATGAGGGAAAACGTTGGCTTCAGCAAGCAAAATACGACTTTGAAGTAGCAAAGTTGACGAAAACAATGATTGATGCAGAGCTGTCAAAAGGCTACAACTGGATATGTATAATTTGTCAGCAGGTAATGTTTATTTATAGAATAATTATTTTAAGTACAGTAGGATTCCCCTTTACACAAACACGTGGTTTTTGAATAATCTTTTTTATGTCAAATTTTGAAAGCAAAATTTTTAAAACGTAGGAACGCACTCAAAAAGCAAAACAGCCTTAAAAAAACACCCAAACTCGTCCAAGGTGAACTTTATTATGGTAACCTAAGCTTTAGAAAAAACTTGATTTTATGAACTGAAAATTTATAGAAAAATGTATCCTTTGAATTATGCAGATACCGCAATTTATCCATACCATGAAACAGTAAATAACAAGGTTTTGATAACTGTTATATGATTTCTGTGGTTTAAGGGTTTCTCATTGGAGCATACGCCTACTTCTTTGGATTATCGAACCGCCGCTCTGGTCTCGTGGTAATGTGCTTGCGTCGAGTGCGAAAGGTCATGTGGTATGTCCCCTATCTAACCTAAGACTTGACAGTTAGTAATTACTGCTTTTCCGATAAGCACGGGCATCTATGCTCTTAATTAAATACCGATGATACATATGATGATGTGATTATTAATTTTTCTTCTATAGTCAACCGCATGGAAAACAAACAAATCGTCAGTGATGCATTTCAATTTTTGCACCATCTTTTACATACAAATTGATTCGAAATTATGGTTTCTAAATGAAGAAATTATATGAATAAATCAGTGTTATCTATCTATTTCAAATTTTGTACTTTTAGTATCATTTTCATCACTGTTTTTCTTTTGTTTTCGAAAACTGTTTTTAGTTTTAATTCGAATGAAAAGTAAAATGCTTACAACTGCTCTAAAAAATCACTATTTTACAGGCAGCAGAAAAGGCATTAAAGGGAGCGATGTATACCATTAATGCTGATGAAGTTCATCGTGTCCATAGTCTGACAGCGCATATACCGGAAGGAGATACAAAATTACTTCCCATAGCTAGACTACTTGAAAACACTATTGAAAGCATTGAGAAGATGAGATATCCTATTTATCGTGCTTTACCGGCAGATTTATACGACAAAGAAGATGCACAGAAAGCTTTAGACTTTACCGAACAATTAATCAATGAAGTACAAAAAAAATACATTAACAGTCTTTGAGCTGTAAATCAAATGTTTAGTTTCGCCTCGTCTTAGGGTAAAAATCTACTCAATTACCCAATCATTTTGAAAATGAAAACATCCTTTATGGGTGGATTTTACATAGGTAAATAAAATCGTATAATATAAGCAAAATGAGGATGTTAAATTTGGTGTATGCCTTTATGTGCTTCTTCGTTACATTATTTTGTTTTTATAGTGATTAAGATGATAACACAATGTTGACTTCTGTACCCTTATTTTTGACATTTTTACCTATTGTGTCTGTTTGTTTTGTTCACGCATCGTTGGCAATATAATGGAATTTGATGCGACTGTCATACAAGTGAGAGGTTTAGCTAGCTATAAAACCAGGTTCAATCCACCATTTTCTACATAAGAAAATGCCTGTACCAAGTCAGGAATATGACAGTTGTTATTCATTCGTTTGATGTGTTTGAACTTTTGATTTTGCCATTTGATTGGGGACTTTCCTTTTTGAAGTTTCCTTGGAGTTCAGTATTTTTGTGATTTTACTTCTTCTATATTTTCATTTCAAATGAAGTATTTATTTACATTTTATGAGTTTTGAACTAAAAAAAGCATATTTTGTACCAAACAGGTTAGAACCTTAATTACACAAAGCACTAACAATTTACATAGTTATGCAATAGTATATCCTATTAGGATATCGTTTCATAGCTGCTAAATTTATTTATTACAAACCAATATAGGCCATAGATTTAATAGTTCCATATAAATACATCCTTTTATTACAGTTCATATCATAATTTATTTTTCTGGGGAAAATTTCTATCACAAATCTAGTGGATGGTAGCCAAGATATAATTGATTAGTAGGTTACAAATAAGCTATTGTTGATTTAAAATACCACAATATAGTTTTACAAAAGTTTTTGATTGACAGCGTTTGTTTCATTTGTTTTTTGGTTTGGTTTTTTTTTTGCTGTTCTTGTACATTTATCAGGTTGTTATTTTACTCAATCGTTTGTTATTGAACAACACATCAGACGACATAAATCAATGTTTCCATTTTTGTTTAAACTCAGATAATGTATTATTTTTGTTTTTGTTTTGTTAAGACACTTTTTTATTTCTGTGTTCAATACATTTTCAAACAGATAATAAATATTTGAAAGATGTATTTTCCTAGTAATACAGAACGAAAGCAGCCAAGGTCACTGTTATCAAGGATAAATTGGGAATTTACATTAATTCAAGTGAGAAATAATTTTGGAGATTTCTCCCTCATTTTCCTTACACAAGAATAATTGTAATACTTTTAATTTATTTTTGTTTTGTTTCTTGTTACATAATGAGTTTTGCGTCCTTTTCTTTCTTTCTAGTGTGACTGCGGTTTTTTTCTCACTTTGTTATATATACATTAACACATTTGTACTTTTCTTAATATTTAAAAAAAAACATCTAACGCTGGAAACATGGATGAATTATTATGAATGGTTCACATAAAAAGCCAGATATTTTAAAGACCAAATTACATAACAGTCAGAAAAAGAATTGATTTAGATACCTACATGTGTTTACAACAGTTTTGATTAAAAATGTGGTAGAAATGAAAAATAAAAAGAATTTATCCATACATATCAGCTTATCTTTTTTTTATTTTAGTCCAAATTGCGTCTTCCTAGTGTAAACATCACGTGAAGTTAGTTGGAAATGTGTATGATGTTAACATACCAGGATATTTAGGAAGCAGAAAAATGTTTCACTAAACATACTTTGAGCTTTTATTATCTTTGACATAATCGTTTTTGCGTTGTACTATATGCATTAGTCTCGGCTATTCAATTTTATCTTTTTTGTCATTCTATAACTTGTATAGTGTGTTTTAACATGGATTTAATCATTTCAATAATTACTGTAAGTCATTTGTGTTCATTAATTATATCATAATTATACATGATTATTAGGAATGAGTCCGGTTTAGGTTTGGGGTAGTCATTGACCATAATTAATCTTATGGTGTCTAACTTATAATTATACCCCGCTTTAAAAAAGTGGGGGTAAACTGTTTTACCACTGTCTGTCCGTCCTTTCGTCCGTCCATCTGTCAGTCGTCCATCCGTCCCATGAATATTTTTCGTCGCATCTTTCTCAGGAACTACATCATAAGGATTTCTGAAATTTGGTTTCAGGGTTTATATAAGTCAGCTATTCCGTGTGATGCGTTTTCAGATTCATCACTCAACAACTTCCTGTTTACCGAACACTTACATATTTTTACACTATTAAAATTATCCAGTTGCGGCGGGGTATCATCAGTGAGCAGTAGCTCTCAGTTTCACTTGTTGTTTCTGGAAGTCTAACTAAGTTGTTGTCAATTGAATGGTAAAACACGGTAGACAAAATATAACTTTTTAAAGCTGTACATATACATTGATATTTTAGGTTATAAAGATAAACAACATGGACAGTATGTCGCAGAAATCAGGCAACAATGGACGAACAGACTGCAAACCACAACACAAAATAAAACTAGCACCACGAACCTTTATACCGATCGTCCTGGTAAAATTCGGTTCGTGTGCACTGGCATATGTTTCATCTGCTTAAAATGTTATTCTATTGAAGTTTGTATTCAACATTGTCGGAGATTGCGTGGCTTTAAGATTGTCTGAATGAGAAGGATATGCAACCGTTCCATTTGATATTTAAATGAAATACACAGTTGTTTGTTTTCTTTAACTCTAACGATCAATTTGATCTAAGTGTTTAAGTACATTTTCATAATCAATGCACTAAGAATGTTGTCTGCTCTATGGTCGGGTTGTTGTCTCTTTGACACATTCCCCATTTCCATTCTCAATTTTACTAAGACATTTACCATTAGCATTCTGGACTAGTGCACGAGTGCAAACATTGGTTTATTGTTGTTGGTATAGATTCCATTGGCAGATATTTGATAGTGATATAGCTACATGAATGTATCACCGAATGATAAAGAGAAACAGACTAACAGTACCCCTTCATGTTTAACCATGTAGTGGGTGATATATGGTTGGAAGGCTCAAATTGTATAGCTTGTACAATTTTACAATGCCTATATTACATCAATTCTCAAGTCAGTTAGTAGTATTCATTTTTTAATAATAAAAAGGGACATTGGACGGATGGACAATGATGTTATCAGTATTAAAGCAAGGAAGTATGGTATGAATGTGAATGAGACAAGTATCCGCAAAAACCTATAGGACAAAGATGGGAACAATTGCAGGTCATCTTTGTGGCTTTCAACAAAGAGTAAAATGCATACCATATTTTATGCTTTTTAAAAAGGTCTCCGGTTGAAAATGTCTGAAACAATTTAAACAAAACCAATGCAATTATGACTGACAGCAACTAATGCCCTAGATTTGGTGACTAGTCGCTTGAGAATGTGGAGGAGTTAAACAATCATATTTGTGAGCAATAGATCCTCCTAATCTGTGATGGTGGTATAATATAGGAACAAACTATCAAATTATTATTTTTGTTAGTCGTGACTTTATAAGCCCGAAACAAATAACAAAACGACTAATGACCATAATACCTATCTAAGATTAGAGTACATGTACTCGCAATTATTAAAATCTTGATAAAAGCCCAATTTCAACTACATGTATTAAACAATGTTTTCCAGTCTAAATATCAATCGGTACACCTCCAAATGATTAAATGTAAAGACGTCTGAATCAGTCTTACAAAAGCATGACCTTTTGCAATAATAAAATATAAATAATGACGGATGTAGGATCATAAGTGTCAATATCTGGGTAGCAATCATGTTTAATAATGTATCAAACTATCGACAAAATTTATATTAGTAAAAGTAAAGAAAATATTCAGACTTCGCTACAATAATAAATCGATAAATTTTAAGAATTATTTTATCCAAAGGACCAACAGTTTTATATGGGCAGTATCCTTATTAATAAGGTATAATATTTACAACATCATAATAAAACCAAGATGTGTTTTGCAGTTTGTAACAAGATTTCTAGAGCAACAGTCAACTTAAACGTCCAAGCCAATTCTGATATAATTGTAATGAATAAAAAGAGATGTGACGAAGGTTGTGTAACAAGCAAGTAAAATTCATAGCAAGATAATTCTGTTATTTAAAAAGAACTAAAAAAAACGATTAAAGACATCTACGTATAATTGTTTAAATTTACTTATTTTGTTGTTTGTTTTTCTAGCAAATGATAATCCAGATTTCATGGTAATCGTTTATATTGTGCGATGGATGTCCAGCTTCGCCACCCTGCAAATGTCAATCTATAGCCATATTCTGTGCCAACTTGAATCTTACTTCCGTTCCGGACTTTACAAATCCCATTGGCAATGATTCGGGGTGGGATCTTGAACTACACGATAATGAAATAACACAAATACGTTATGGTGACTTAAAAAATTTGAAACTACGCAGGTTATTTCTCTCAAACAACAAAATCAATGTGATCGAGAATGGAGCATTAACCGGAAGTGAAGACTTTCTACTCGTTCTTCATTTGAGCAATAACAAACTGACATCTATTCCATCAGATGTTGGCAGACTAAAACATCTAACTGATTTAGATATACATGACAATCCTATGGAGAATATGAATGAAGAAATTATTAGAAACATATCAGGTTCTTTGTTGTCCTTAAGTTTAGGTAACGATATAATGACATCTTGGCCACAATGTCTTGAACGCCTCACAAATCTAACTTCAATGTCAATCTTCAGCTTGAATATTCCCAAAATATATGATGACGTATTTGACAATTATAGCCACTTGAATATTCTTGAAATAATTTCAACGAATCTATCAAGTATTCCTACATCTATTGGAAAGCTTCTAAACCTACAAAATGTCAACTTATACAATAACCTAATTCTGGCGGAAGAGAGTTTTCCTCTACATATTTTCCGGGATTTACACAATCTTTCGAGTATAAGCATCGTAAACTGTAGTTTGAGATCACTTCCTTTAACTTTTTCCGAAATTTCTAGTTTGTCATTCTTGGTCATTGAAAATAATCCGATTTCGTATGTTGAAGACGGTGTGTTTGAAAGGAATGTTTCTTCTAAAGTTTGGTTTATGGCTCTTAAGACTACAAAGCTAACGAGCATTCCAAGGACAATATCAAATTTAACAGGTCTGCAATTTCTAAATTTGAAGAATGGTCTTATCGAAGAAATAAAGACAGAGGATTTCCAAAATTTAAAGAAGCTTGAAAGATTGTTCCTATCTGGAAATCCCATAAGGAGTATATCTGAGGAAGCGTTGATGGACCTGGAATCCCTTGAATCGTTAATACTTGATAATACCAATCTAACTACAGTACCAACAGTAGTATTGAATCTTCCGTCCATAATGGGTCTGAGTTTAGAAAATAATGGAATTATGTGTACATGCAAAACTTTAAGATGGATGAAAGACTGGCCTCGTTTGGCTAAAGTCTTAATTGTAGGAAGCTGTGTCAATATTAGAATAACAATCACAGATTATATAAAACAAGAACTTCCTAAATGTGAGTTATAGCACCTCCTGGAAACATATATTCATACAGATTGACATTGAGATTTTCCTTGTTATGATATAGAGTATGTGATGAAAAGTTGTGCTGTAATGTTGACTTATATCAAAAAATTTAACAATTGATTGAAATATTTCGTTGATCATTTGACTTGTCTCATTAATGAAACAGATATTTATCAAACATTTTCTTATACTTTTTGAAAAATGTTAGAAGTTATGTAGCCAAATTGAATGTCAAAGTGACTTACTTGCTGGAAAAAAGGTATTTTGATCTATCTAAATAAAGCGTATTCTTTGAAATTTTATTTACCTTGTAGTAATGTTATTTGTTTAACTGTGTTTCATTTTCCATTTAACCGATGCCATCTTTAAATTAAGTATATTTTCTATTATTGAATAGTCTGGGTTTTTGTTACAAAGTTTTCCAGAAAAGATCGGTAATACAACTTCAAACAAACTATAGTTTGATTCCGCAATATGCTATATACATTGTTCAGAGACTGGGATGCATTATTTTGAATGGAAATATTTCTAAAATTCTCAAATCGATTTACTAGTATACTTTTCTCGAGCGGTTGATATATTTTTTCATACTCAACGAATAGTTCGTTTGATCTCAGTCGGTCAAAATTTCCCTGCTTTCCATAGATTTTGCTATTGGGAGATCAATTTCAAGTTATATCTGTGTGCAGGAGTTAGACAAGTTGACCAGTGGTCAATCTGCATAAATGACGCGATTAAACTATCAACTGTTACTTTAACTGTTACGTTTTAACATAAGCACTGTGACATTCGAAATGTACGAGAATATACACCATTACTAAAGTCGTCTTTTGTTAAAGATAAGTAAAAGTTTCCCTACATATCGAAATAATTTAATTTTGGATGTATCACGTATTCTAACTGGATAAAAGTTTTCTGGGTATCAGCTCATACAGACATATTTTGTCATGTAACCGTGACGTTATCAACGTTTTTTCATGATTTACTTCTTAAAAATGGAATTTAGAATTAAATATAAGGAAGGCACGTCACATGTGTCAGTGTGCACCACATTTTTTAGGTTATTTCGATTAGACAGATAAATATTACAGTGATTCCTTAAATAGATACCACTACAGCATCTCATGCCATACGATATTTTTTTTAACTCTCGAGAGTTAAATTTTAAAAATTCAATTGACTGGAGAGGTGAAATATGTTATCACACTGTAATAGTAGAAACCATATTTGGAGATTAAACAATTATTTCAGATTTATGGCTGTTTCTTTAATAAAGTATGTATTTGTGTAACTCTGGGTGTAGTTTGAATGCTTCATATATACTGTCAAAACAAAACATTAGAGACCGAACACTAGTAACAACGACAGTCTGTAAATTCTACATAATCATAAATGATTATAAATATACGAGGACGTTAGTGAAAACAATTTTAACGTTACGCGCAAATGGCTAAACACCATTGTACCTTGGTATTTTCTGACGCCCTGGAAAATTATACAAACACAATTACAAGTCTAATGGTTATCAATTTATGAACTTCACTAGTAAGTGATCCTTCTGCCGTAATTTCGTCAATTTCGGAGACAGGCCCGTTTTTAACACTTCGTGGCCCTACTCCTTGTCTTTCATGTTGAAATATGTTTTATAACAATTTGTACAAACTTGTACAATTTCCGTTTGCAAAACGTCCGTTCAATATTTCCAATACATCCGAAAGCTCTCTAATTTAAAACGATTTTTTGTGATTGATTTGATTTTTTTTTTGTGATTTCTTACATTTTTAATTACAACACTAGCTTCTACAATATAAGTTATAACATACATAAAGACTAAATCACTTTTAGGCATTCACACTTTAAAATTGTTCAAATGAATAAATTATAAACTCTTTCTGGCAATAATGTTTTATCAATTTGTGTACTTATTATTAATTATTATTTTTTTTGACAATACCGGTATCAATTGCGAAAAGATATGAAGTGGGGTGTTGATTTTTTTTTTTCAATATTTAGATGATGTGCTTTTTCAACATGCAAAGGTTCAAAGATAATCTTTAAATCAACAATACTAAGCAGCTAAAAATAAATGATTATATTTATAAACAGACTGATGATCTGTGATATACCATGTCATACGCCATATACAAATCTTATGACAAACGTAACTCAATATTCATATCTGTTGCATCTAGTATTTACACATCAAAGTTGTTTGTACACTACAGCTCATTAAAGTATATTCTCTTAGTCTATAAAACTGCTCAGTTCATGGTTATTTTCTGACTACTCTGATATAAAAGTACCAAAACTTTACAATCGCTCTTCTCTTGTGGTCAATGAGACAGTTATCCACCAGAGACCAAATAACGAGAATATAAGCATTTATGTGTCACGGTACGGCCTTCAACAGTAATTGAAACCCAAAATGTACGGTAAGATGTAAAATACCCGACATGATACACAGTCATGTAAAACAATATGAACGTGTAAACCAATGGCCTGATTTATGCTGAACCAATAAAAGACAAACAAATATAACAGCTGCAACCAACAAAAATCACCTGACTTGGTTAAGGCACATACAGAGTGTGGCAGGGTGAAACACAAACGGTGATTTTGAGGTGAAGAACAGAAATAAAATCACTGTTCCTTTACTTTCGGTGTTTTGTCGATGGCGTGAGGAAATAATGATGATCTTAACTAGATTTGGACTTTTTTTTTTACATTTTTGGTTTTCATCAGACTCAGCTTCACTATAACTTTGACCGAGGCTTTCCAATTCTTTCGATTTCGGTCATGAACGCAAAACGCACGACCTATGTCATAAATTATAAGCCCAGGGCCCGTATGCATAAAACATCTTAACTTAAGTGTTCCTTAAACTTAGATTTCACTAAGAATTCTCTTAGTTAAGTAAAATTCTTAAGTCGTATGCATAAAATTACTTAAGTCTTCACTTAACTAGGGAATACTTAAATCGGAACCTTTCTCTAATTACCGTATGATATATGTTAGCTCATCGCATGTACTCATCCGTGTACAAGTGTGTTTTGATTATTTACATTGATTGAACAATACATAATTGTATAAAGCACCGGGGTTAAATTGATGTTGCTGTGTAAAACAATTAACAAATACGTAACCAAATTAAATAACCAAACAAATTGGCGCATAAGAGAAAAGGTAGACGAGCGTGGGAAGAACAAAATATTTATAATGCAAAGCTTTCTCCTACTGTTACTATAGGGGATTGGAAGGAAATTGATTGATTTATCGATGTTTGCTTAAAGTCCAGTGGCAAATATGTCATGCATGTTCAGGACGAGAACACATTCACAATAGATAAAATAAGTGGATCTTGTTATAGACGCTTTCCGGGATGAAGGTCAAGAAAATGTGTACTACCACCGGAAAATGAAGGTATATCGGATAGGAACAGAATTCTTCCCTGCAACGGCTCACCTACGGACCCCAATCAGTTGGTGTAGGTGTTCTTAACGTTCAGCGTGTGTGGCACACTCTCTCTACACACGAGGCATAGGATTTAACTCCCTATTCTGACCGGACGTGGTTGCGTACTTATACATCCAGCACAGTCAAACGAACGTCCCGTTTTGGCAAGAGTTTTACTGCTGGTCTGAAATAGACCAAATACCGTATTTCTGGTCGCCACTCACCCTTATGGTGAAAAAAATAATAAATATATAACAATATAATAAGTAGAAAAACAAATCCCTCAGGAGAGATTCTTAAGAGATACAAAAGATGTGGGACAACTTATGTATGGCGTGATAAATGTAGAATATCAAAAGATTCCGAGTTATCATCTTGCAATTTATTCTTTTTGGAAAACAAAACTTCAATTACCCGAGGAGTCGCTGAATGAAAACTCAACGTTATCTTGTATCAAACCATCCAGCCTAATTATGGTATATGCTAATTAAATCTTAATTAAAAGATAAATCCACGCCATCATATCTATAAAACAGATTTGTACCATCCCTAAGGCACCGACCATTCATCTTTCATGGGAGATGCTGGATGGAAGGGCAATATGTCTATTTTCTAGAGACAACAATATAATTTTAACTCTAACAATACATGATAAAGATTTTTTTTTTAATTTTGATTTAAAATAAACTGTTTTATCATTTCCCTTTTACAACAATAAAACAGGGGGTATGTTAATTTTCCATGAATTCATATCAAAACAGGAGCATTTTTCAAAAGTCCTTCAATCTTTTACTAAAACACACATTATTAGATTCATATGTTTACTGTAAGGTATTATCAACATCTTTGCGTATTTCCGAATATTTCGCTTGACAGTTATCACGACGAAAGATGACTCAAAACTGTATGTATTTATGGTAGGTTTTAGAAAAAATTTAACAATTATCCATTATCATATAAATAGACTTCGAATTCCACGGAGTAGGTCTTAAAACGTTTTGATTTTGTCCCAGTTAGTGAATCAAAACAAATTCAGGGGAAATTTGTCCAATATATGTTGAAAAAAACCCAATATAATTGAAAATTAAACCGATGTCCCCCCACCTCATCGCTTCCTTCCTTCATACAGTTTTGTACTTATCTAAAAGTTACAATCGATACCTGGCGGTTTATTTCATAATACATGTGTAAGCAGGCACGAACAAATCAAAAGAAATATAATTGCATGAATTCCATGCGTGTAAAAACTGTGAGTACTTTTCGGAAAACACACTAACGAGATTGAGAAATAAGGGTAGAATGAAATTATAGAACTACCCTCTGTTATCTCTTGATTTTGTAAATTATAGGTCAATTTACGAAAATTACAATGACCGTTAATATTTAGCAATAAACAAACGAAATATTACTGAATATAATTATTATTCAATTAAATGGGAGCTAATCTATCCATGTTCTGCGAAAAACGCATACATTCGACTGATTTTATGTATGTTAGAAAAGTTAAGGTAGCTCCATAGGTACCTTATACTTAAGTATAATCTTATGCCTTTTCTTAGTTTAAGGGGTTTTATGCATGCCACTTAAGATTTGTGGGCGTGACTTAAACCAACTAAGATTTTACTAAGGAAATACTTAGTTTAAGATTTTGTATGCATACCACTTAGGTAAAAAGGGCGGAGTTTCCTTAACTTAAGTCTTTACTAAGGAAAATCTTAACTGAAGTAGTTTTATGCATACGGGCCCTGACTTGGGACAGGCGCATAAATGCGGCGGGGTTAAACATGTTTTTTGAGATCTCAACCCTCCACCTATACCTCTAGCCAATGTACAGTTACTTTGTCTAAGGTAGTCTTTATGAACAAATGTAGAAGCAACGTGTACATTAACCAGACAGCAACCATACGACACATATACCACATAACATCAAGATGTCAACATAGCATTTATATCTTAGCGGGGTTTTTTTTTTCTTTTCTTTAAAGAATACATTGAATTTTGCAGATCTTAATAATAAAAAAATGAGAAACTGACTTGCTATGGTAGCTATTCAGCTAAATATCCACCAGAGACCAACGGAATAAGATTTACAGAAGTATAGCAATTTCAATACTGCATATAAAACTATAAATGGCCCCTTCGCAAAAAATAAACGAAAAACAAATTATGGCAAACAACATCCAATAATAACCATTAAATTACAGGCTCCTGACTTAGTCCATCGAAATAAAATGAATACTTTTGATTATCAATATGTTTTCATCTTTAAATTTTTATGATATGTATAAGACATAAATCAATATTCTAATATTCATAATACAACAATAAATTGAAATAATAAATTACCAGATATTTTCTGTTTATGTGTCAAAGATAATGCATCAAAATTACTTTACTCCTCGTGGTCAAAGTGCTTTATAGATAAAACTTTATTAGAATCGCCTCAACGCATGCCATAAGCTAAAAAGTTTAAGATGTATAAATACACGGAGAACTGTAAGAATAAAAGAGTCCTAATGCAACTTTATCAGAGGGACATTTCTGATAATAGTAACAAAAGTATGGGAGTTATAATTTGCAAAGTCGTCCGACCGATACAAATGTACCAAAGTCGGCCAAAAAAACCAGAATTTTCACATTACCATCTAGAAAACGGCAACTACTCAAAAAAGAGGAAAGTGTCTTTCTTCGGAAAAAGGTGGACAGTGCAGAAATGTTGATTTAAGAAACAAATTATTTAAAGTCTTTTTCGGGTACTATGTTGTTAATATTTGTTATAACACATGCTTTACATTAATTTTGTTTTGTTTAAATCAACCAAGATTTCAGTTTAAGTATTATAATATTGTATGTTAATGTCAGTTCGCTATTACTGTGACTACATATGTTACATGTATGATAGTATATGTCTAATAGGAAAGGAGCACCTTTTTGGGCATTTTTGTAAATATAAGGCAACTAATTAAAATTACTTTAATATATTTGGAAATAACTGTATGATAACTGGGTACAGGCTTTATGATTTCGAAAATAAAAAAGTAATTCAAATTCACATTTCAGAATATACATTATGTGCTGTTTTGCATCCAGTTTTTACGGTACTATTATTGATATTTGTAAATAAATCAAGTTTTGGAATAATCCTATAAATTTTGTTTTAATTTTGTTTTGTATTGTTTTTTTTATTTATATTATGATAACGCAATTTAGGTTCGCTCATTGTCATTGGTATTTTCACTTTTTTTTCTATTTTGGATTCACATTATTTCGCTTATTTTATGCATTTAAACAAGACTTGTTTCTGCAATGAAAGCCTGTACAGAGTTTCTCCGGTCATTTCACAATACTGTGCTTTCGTGTATCCTATGAATTTGCTCTCTGATATCAATTCCAACGTACAGCCGCCAAAAATGCAGTGCAGAAAGGCATAATTTCCAATCCACAGCGACTACATAATAGCATTGCTTTTATCTATTTTAATATCAGTATTGTTGTTTTGTTTGTATCTTGAATATGCATTGATTATTTAATAAACTTTTTTACCCAGCCACATACCCAGGTACCTATTCAATATGTCTCACCTTTGTCAGTTATTGTCTTCAGTAATATCTTGAGGGGGTTGTTTTTTTCCGAAAATTTTGTTTTAATTACAGATCTGTAATTGTCTCTAGTAGATTAATTCACAACTTTAAAAAAAAAAAATACTCGAGCGGCACTGTAGAGTTTTTTTTACCTCCAAGCATTAATGACTGAGTTATTAATTTGACCATCCCTCTGCTTTGAATCGAGTACCACTGATGTGTCATTTAAGACAAAGCACGCGTCTGACGGACTCCGCAATGAGTTTTGTTTCTGTCTTAAAAAGAGAAAAACAAGTTCAGTTGAAAGATTCATCATTTATTTAAGACTTAGATCAACCAATTGCAGCGACACTATCTAAAAAAGAATTGATCAAACAATTAAAATCCAAATGTTAAAAAAAAACAATTGCGGATTTTTCTTCTTTTAAATTCCTACCTGTTCATGATTGAAGTATGAATGAATAAAAAATATGAGGAAGATATGTTGAACATTGCACATTTTGCATTGAAACATCAGAGAAATATTGAGAGTTAAAATCCGATAACTATATCACAACGCTAACGCAATATACAAAGGGGCAATCAAAATGCACAAATAGTAGAAAAACATATCCTCGTCTCATGGGTTTTCCTGCTATTAAGAATGCATTGTGACGTCACAATTTCCATTGAAAAAGCATGCATAGTACGAATTCATATGACGTACGAAAACATATGATCTGACCATACATTACTATGAAAAACGACATAAAGACAAAAACAATCTACAAAACATTACATACGGTAGTCAAGATATGGCAACACGAAGGTTTTCTTTGAGGTTAAGCAGTTTCTGCTTTATTGGAGGAATCCGTCGACTTACTCATGGAAAAATATTTAAAAAAAAAAATAATAACTGATTGCATTTGTTTTATGAAGAAATTATAAAATGATAAGTTTCACAAGATTGATTTGGAAGATTTTTCGAATGGAATGATGTAGTTTTAGTGATTTTCTTTTATCATTGTCGAAGGCTATACGGTGACCTTAAATTTCCTACAGCTACTTCATTTGGTCTCTGGCAATTATACGGCATCTCCGTATTTTTATTTTGTTTTCTATTTTTTTCTAATTGTAAGTTAGCTTATTAAACTATAAACGTCATTTATGAACTGACTCACCGAGACACGAAACACCAACGTCTTCATTGTGTGCACAGTTATGATTATACCATCCTGTCGATGTACAGTTCTCTATATTGGTCTCAAACCCTTGGCATTGAAGGTTATTTAACAATATGTCCCCTTTACCATGACCAAAATGATTGTTAACAAACGCCTGTATGTGCCTAAATTTGTGTAAAGATATCATTTAGAAATGATGCTAAGATATTATAATTATTAATTCCATTCAATTAAAACAAATTAAAGGTTCAATGATTTCCGTACGCTGGAGTAAAGAGATTACTGTATTTTATTTGAAGCCTTGTGGACGTCCATCGGTAGTTTTATTGTCGAAAATTGTGGTTACCTGACGACACGTAATGCAAAATAAACAAATCATTCAATTTTAGTCATTATTTTGGTGAACAATTGTTCTAACGAAAATTCCGCGAAATAATTTTATCTTCTTTTGCACCTTAAGGTAGATAGGGTGTCTTCCTCCATCTTCGATTTTGTAATACCTGAAAACAATCGGTCTAGATCTTTAATAGAATGTGCAAATTTTGAGAGTAGTGGGTAATTCATGTGTAAGAATTTTCATTTCAATATAGAAAATGACATGTTTTATCATATTTATGGTTGTATTTTACAAAAAACAGAAAACTTTTGTTTGATTCAATTTTTTCCAACTTTGCCACATAAGGGGAGGCAACTCAAATGTAAGGGCAGATAATTCAGATAAAGGTACTTTTACAATAGAATGTGTTAGGAATTTACCTATTTTATTATGTAGCAAGAAAACGAGTCCGGTGACCCCTTTTTTTCTTTTTCTTATCTGAAAGCATAATATTAAAGCTATCTTCTCATATTTTATCTCAAAATTCTATTGTGTAGTTTTCGTTTTATGGCAGAAAATTGGGTTTTCCATGCATAATCTATACAAAATCTGTTAATTTTGAACAACCTGTAGCGTGAAAATAAGCCCCGTGACCCATTCTTTTTATCTTTTTTTTTTAAAAAGCTTGATATAAACTACATTTTGGCAAATTATCAAAAAATTCTATGGATTATAATTTAGACACCCCATCTACCTTAACAAGGTGGCGTCATAGGAATGCTTCCGGTGTCAAACGTAAATACCCGGCGATTTCTTGCTTCTCGTCCGCCTTAGAATGTTTTAAAATTAAAAAACCATATCAAAGACTTGAAAAATCTGAATATTACCTGAATCATTTATCATGGTTCTTTTGAGGTCAAATTAAATTTTCATTTTACTATTTTAATTTCAAATCGTGTAGAAATGGTTAATACCCTGTAGGTGAATATCCTGCCATAGTACAAATTACTTTAGCATCATTTACGTCGAAATTGTCATTGCATATAGTACCCCATTTTCCATTCACCAATAATTCAACACGTCCTTCCCATGGCCAGGCACCTCCGACAAATTTTACGCCTGTAAAACAGATATATGTTTGGATTACATAAAGTCATATCTTTCTTGAACATTTGTTATATTTTACACTTAAGGTAACAGGTACGTAAATGGGCAATTTCACGGATTTTTATAAAATTTTTATACCAATTTGAGTATGTGGAACTATATATGAATATCGAAAAATTGTATAAGTAACTTTTATACTTTCGGATATATAGCAAATTGAATATTCCGTAGAAAGGAGTGCAAATGTATAGGATGCACGTAAATATTGAAAAAGATATTGAAACATTTGACTTTAAAATGCCTTTTCTAAAACCGTGTTCTACGAATTTTCTTTAAAATTGATATGCTATTGCCACTAAAATTCCGTTGTATTAATATGAAAATATTGAGGGGTCAACGAATTCGTTTTTGCTGTATAAATCATTCAAGTCTCTCTGTAATATCTAAAAACGTCGAAAAATAACATTTCTAGCGACGACGTCACGATTATTTTTGCCTTTTCCTCGCCTTTTATCCATACTAAAACAACGAATTCAGTGACCCCTATAAATTCAATATCAATAGAACGGAAATTTCAGTAGCAATAACATATCATTTTTTAAGAAAATTCGTAGGACAGGACTTTGAGAAAAATTAGTTTCAAGTCAAAATTGTTGTATTCTATACATTTGCACTACTATTTTCCGCAAAAATTATTTGCTATATCTCAGAAAGTATAAATTTAAAGTAATATATATATATATATATATATATATATATATATACAATTGTTTCGATGTTCATGTGCAGTCCCTCGTGCTCTAGTTGTATGCAAAATTCCATAAATTCCGCGAGAGCACCCGGTAACGTACATACATGTATAACCTTTAATTCGTTCGAAAAAAACCAAAATATTTCTAAGAATTATACGGAGACTTAAAGTTTGTTATTTGATGGCTGTCAATGTCTTCGTCTTTGTGTTATATTCATTGTTCGTTTTAGTTTAATGTTTAGTTTTCGGTTTAGATATTTGTAGACTTTTGTTAGTTTTTTTTTTCTTTGTTCTTTGGTCATGGTTTTGTCTGTACTTCTTTCAAATATGATTTTATTGTACCCTTGGAATTTTCAATCTTATTTAAGGTGTCCCATTTAAAGTTTTTTCTTAGTTTGGTCACCGGTAGCCTAAAAGTACTGCAAACACTGGTTTAACCTTCAACATGTTGATGTCGAAGTAAGATTTGATTTTTGGTGATTTAACGCCACATTTAAGCACCGCTTTTGGGCTATTTCGTGACGGCCAGTTTTTATTGGTGGAGGAAGCCGGAGTGCCCGGAGAAAACCACCGACCTTCGATAGGAAATGTTGAAGTAAGAAGTTAATCGCCTCTGTTTGTCTGTATTTAAACATGAGTACTTGTTTTCATCTCTGAAAGAATTTAACGTTTTTTGCTGATCATTGGTAGTCTCAGGCTTTTTTTTTCTACAATGGTGTAGAGTAAATGTATGATAATCGAATTCAATGCGCATGACCTGTGTTTCTGGTACCCCTTCATATGACACGCTCTCAATACTAAAGGTTAGAGAAAATTACGGGGCGATTAAAAGTCTAATATATTATAAAGACACTTTTCTACTGTTAACAAAATGTTCCAATAGTAAAACAGGTACAGTGTAGTCTTCGGGATTCCATATGTTCACCACCGGTTTTTAGTGGGTTTCAGGTAGCTCAATCATACGTTTTCTTTGTAGTGTTTTGTTGACTCTTGTTTTGTCCAGTACCAGTACTTAGTGAATGCAAACTATAAGCAAGCTGCTTTTATAGAAAAATGAAAAATGACTACACAAATTAAAATTTTTGAGAATGTAGATGTAGGTGATACGCATTTTATACCTTACTACGTCGACATAAGATTAAAACATATTATAACGACCTTTTCTCCAGAACTTGATGATATTTTATGTTGAAAGAAAGAAAACAAATTATTACATGTACCTTCTACTATATGGCTTCTGTTACTTCCTGTAAAATACAATGTAATGCTGTATTCTCTGACCATAAAAAACAATAAAAATAGTTTTGTCCATTATGTATACTTTAGTTAGTTTTTCATTACATTTGTTCTGTATGTTTTATAAGTAAATGTTCTTTTCTCTTTGTACTACTGTTTTATCAGATTTTCTATTATCTTTTTTTTTTCCTTTTTGTGCAATTTTAACTTATAAAGAAGATATGTTCAACATAATGTTTACAGCTGAAAAAAGTGTTTGGATAACAGTTGAAAATCAGGTGAACATTTGAAGTTGATTTTTAACTACAGTTGTCAATAGGGCCGGCGATTACAGTGGCAATTAAAGCCATCCGGCATTTATGTTCATAGGCAAGCTTCTTCTAATTGCCATGAGATTAGCTGTATTCGATGAAATATCGTGTTTAATAAAAAGATGGCTTTCTTATGACCTAATTAGTATGTTGTTGGTCAGATGTGTATTTCTTTCTTTTTTTTGTGCTTTACATTAAGGAACAAAACAGATTCCTCAGAGTGATTTGATTTATAAGAATAAAACAAACCAACAGATGGGATTTAAATAACTATGATATCCGTATTTTTTTTCTCTCAAAAACATCATGTTTTGATACATGTATCTCACTTTTTATTTGTGTTTATCTTATATAACGGCATATCAGTTTTACACATTGTTTTCATTTATCATGACGTCACGATGTGAATTTTGCACTTCGACTATCATAGAAGCTCAGATTTTGCTGTGCTCTATTATGTAAATGCAAAAGTCGTTCCGTAATGAAACTATTTCCCTCAGTTCAGTCCATTCGTAAAAACTTGGAATCGGGTATGTTCCACTTACCTAATAGTACAGTCAGAAAGCTTAGGACCTATAATTACGGGTAGTCCTCAATCAAAATTAAATTAAACAGTCTGTTTATGTAATTAAGCGCAAGAGAAGTTTTCTTGAACTTATTAAGTAACAACATTGTAATTTTTTATTTGGGGAAACGGCAGTTCACATTTCCAATCTGTCGCTAATCAATATAGGTCCTGAAAGAATGATAATCTTTCTAGTTACGTTAACTGTAATTATATAAATGTTCAATCAGTTCGAAAAAGAGGCTTTAAACTCAATTCTGTGACGTATACAAAAATAGAAAAAATCAACACTGTTACAGATTGTGTATTCGCATGGCAGGTGATTCCTGCATAGCAGAAGACGCTTACGCCGTTGACACTCCTGGTCTCCCTCTTTTGGAATACGAGCGACTTCCTCAGTTTTCAGTTGTTACCATGATTTTATCTTCTTAATCGATTAATGAGATTTGAACATCGGTAAACTGCTCTTGCCTTTATTTTCCCACGTGTTGCGTATGACTAGTGTTTGCAAACTTGGGGAGACGGTTTTAATGTAATAAAGTCCTGATTAAACTGTGAATGACAACATTGTAAACAACGACATCGGATCGTTCTGTCTAACGTGTTGCGTAGTGTCGATACATAGAAAAAAATGGAGGCTGAAATTCCGATTTACTGGTTGAAACAAACACTAGGGATATCACATGCCTTCCTCAGAGTCTGTTACAGAGACGTAGATATGATCGTGGTGACCTGAATGGCATTTCAAAGCAGTACTGCTCTTCATCAGGAATCCTTCCATCTCCAGAACATGTCCATACCTGTAAATAACTTCCTTAACTGACCAAGATTGTGTCCGCCATAAGTATTTGTTAAAACAAAATAACCGCCAGTCGATGTAAATCTACACATGATAAAAATTGGAACTATGGAACAGCTAACAAAAAAATCATACCTTTATACTTTGTTATCCTTCCTAATTACTCGTAAATACCTCCATGTAATGCTGTTAACGACTTAATGTTAATCACAGGTAATTTTGTCAAATATCAAAAATTTTGAGTTTGTTTTGCAATTCCCTTTTGAACAGCCATGGACAATTCTCATAATATTGATGTAAGGACTCTGAACCGAACAGTTAATGCTTTTTAAACCTGTTTCCCTTAGAAACCCCATGCATATCATACCCGACGGATAAGGCATTGTCATCTTGAAAAGTAATCATCATTGGGAAAATGACGAACAACCACTGGCCATACATTATTGTTAATTTGGGAATTTGGGATATCTGCAGTACAGTGCATAAATATCATGCCTACTTCTACCTCAAGTATTATGGCCGAATTCATTTAAGAGATTCTCGATGAAGTCAGCCGGCAATTTTCAAAGTTAAGCTTTATACATATGCCACGGAAACTCTTTTTTATGTTACCAGAGCGGTAAGGGTTTATGGCATCGATGGTGCATTGCATATTTGATGCCATGTCTTTCTCTACCTCTGACACCATGGCACAATGGATACTCTCTTGAATAAAGCTAACCAACAATATTGAGATGAACTGTTTTTTAATTTTTTATTTAATTTTTTTTATTTAATGTAAAGCGGTAAGAGATTTGAAAAAAAATTTTTTTTTTTTAAATAAAAAGGAGATACATAGCAATCAAATCAACATAAAATTTCTTGTCGTCGTACTAAACTTCGGCATTAAAAATATTTTCACCTGGAAACTCTAAATGGAGAAAATTAATTATCTATTGCAGATGATTTGTTATTCAAGATTTAAGATTAAATGTAAATCGATCATTACCTAAGCATTCAACTCCGGCATCTTCCGAATGGTCGCAATTATTTATGTACCACCCTGCTGAATTACAACTCTCCAAACTATCTTCAAACCCACTGCAGTCTAAATTACTTAACATAATAGAATCTTTTCCTCGACCAAAGTAAGCTTGTCCAAATGTATGTATTGCTCTGAAACGTAAACAAATTATACATGTTATAGAAATAGTATGTATCGTAAAATATACAAAACGGAAAACCTTGCACCTGAAATTTCAGTTTTATTCATTGTCGATGGGTTGTGTTAAAAATAATAAAGTCATACATTTCTGACATCACCCAATTTTCCATCAAAATCTCAAAAGGTTGTAACAAAATTGATTTCAGTTTGAGTACCATAAAGGTCTACTGAGGCGACAGTAGTTTAGTCTCTAGATTATGAAGAGAAACGTCAAGGTAACAAACAAAAACTGATGGAATCGCATAAACTCGAAACGGATCAAGACCGAATGCGTCGGCAGGGTAAATGTCTCCTTCTAAAATGCATCATCTGCCATGCGAATCCACACTCAAAATGTCAAAATTGGGAATATGACACATTCTGTAAAATTACAGATCAAACGACCGCAAAACATGTTGATAGTGAGTTGAGACACTGACACATCGTATCAGCCAACTAAGTCGTGATGGTGACAGTAAATCTCATGTAGTGTCGATTTCAGTCGTTCTTCCTTATAATTCTGATGAAGCTGTTTTTTTTGTAAGATGTACACCCCTGTTGATGAAGTCCGTAAAGTGTGAATCTGCACTAGCGTAACGTATTAAATGAGATATGTAAACGCCATAAGATGGAGCAATTGGTATGTTAGAACTGATAATTTGGAAGTTGAAAATTTGAAAGTTGAAATCATCACGTTTGGCATAGACTAGTTAGAAGTCGTCCATCTGTGTCAATACAGAGAAAATAATAATGAGAATATGCAAGTTGTCGTGTTTCTAGGCATGGTGTCAATACCATGCCAACATTTTCCTATCAATATCATACACTATACTTTTTCTAATCAATATAAATGATATGAATGAAGGTATAAACAATGAAATAAAGTTGGTCGCAAATGGTACTACATTGCTTAGATCGATTGGTAATTAATACTCAAAACATGAATATTTAAATAAACATTAAACGTTGATCTGTTATTTAGCCATTTTACCTTACATTTCAACCATCTTGTTGAACTAAGCTCACCGGGCGTGTGGGAGGTCGTTGGTTCGATTCGTGACCGATTTAAAGTATAAAATACAAAAGTACTGCTTCTTCGCCGAACAATTGACATTTATTAGAAGGACTGAACGGCAGCCGCTAATGCTAATATGGCTTAGTACATGTAGTTGGGTACCATATCATGTCTTGCTGTGGACTGCTACATTATAAGCCCGAGGTATATCATTAAACTCTATACTTCAAAAGGCATAACAAACTGAGAGAATGGATTATTGAGACAGTATTGTTTGAAATATTCCATCTATATAACACTTAGAGAATTACCATTGAGCAAACTATTCACCAGATATGTAGATGTAAGCAACTACAGGATGACGCATGACCTGCAACAATGAACAAAACACAAACAGTATGATAGGCTACAAAATGGCTTGACATGACAAAATGTAAAACAATACAAACGCGAAAATCAACAGGCTAATTTAAAAAAAAACAATCAACGAAATACAACTATGACAGACACTAATCAAAGACAACCATATGGTATTACATACTCCTGACTTTGGACAGGCACACACATACTGTTGTGGGGATAAGCATGTTTGCGAGTGCTCGATCTTCCTACTAACATAGCCTGGTTATGCTCATTGTTGAAGGGCCGTATAGTGATCTTATGCAGCTTAAAGAAACGCCATTTGGACTTTGGTGCAATGTTGTCTCATTGGTCATTATACAACATCTCCGTATGCACGGCTGTCATTCGGTATATCGAGAAAAATGACTGTGAAAGAACAAACAACGGTGGTCAAGTATTGTGATTGGATCGTGAAAGATCTGGTATAGGATCGTGAATGAAATTTTATCGAGAAGACACATACAAAGTCAGTAAATAATCTAATATTTATGAATTATAATGACAAAAAATGGAAAAAATAAAACTGTCTGCCAAAATGGTTCAACAATATGATCAGTGTCCGAGAAAAATTCCAGGTTTAAGAGTACAAAAAAAAAAACAAAATGCAGATAGCTCCTCGAAATTTCAAAGAAATAAAAATGTAAACGAACATGATTTTTTCAAATTTTTAATGCATAAATTATTTTTCTCTTTGAAATATCGTTCATTTTTACTGTTTAGTTCTTAATACAACAGCGACTAGTTGCCTTATAACAATATCAGTTC